TCCAGCTGGATGCGCACCCACTCGTCGCCCTTGTTGCGCACGTCAAAGTAGCCCTGGCCGCCGCGGATGTAGCGAATCTCCTCGTCCTCGTGCAGATGCTCGTGGAAGAAGGACTTGACCTTGTCCTCGTACACGTCGCCCATCTTCTCGGGCGACACGACAATCTCGTCGCGGTTCCTGTACCCGCGCTCGGCGGCCAGGGCGTCGACGTCGCTCGTCTCGGGGAAGCGGTGGTAGAGCACGCCGAGGCTGGCCAGGTCCTCTGCGGTCACCTGGCGGCCCGAGTCGTGGGGCAGACGCTGGTCGCCCTGCCGGTTGTTTCAAGAATTCCCACGTTAGAGGACATTCGAGCTCTGATGACGCCGCTGCTGATACCGACGCCGACTGCTACAGTTGACATGCCTGACTGGTGGGGTGAGGGAGGCTTACCGGCAGGTTATCGTACATGTATGCCTTCATCTTGACCGGCTGCTTCTGCTTCTTCGTCGTTTCTACGGGACGCTGTGAGGGGGTTTCTTGGGAGATGACGGGACAGCGCCATGGCGAAGACGTGATGCGAGCCTCGCTACTTATAGTAGTAGCACTACCTAGGTACCGAGAGGGACAACTCAAAAAGAAAAAAAAACGGATTCAAGGTGAGATCGAAGCCCAGCGCCCCACCCCGCCTAACGCCCCCCTCTCGGTAGAGGTGAGTGAGCTTACTGTATTACACCTAAGGTACATCGAACTGTAAGTACTTGGGAGTATGGGACTAGGTACCTTCCTTTGGGCGCATGCACCTCGGCAAGATGATGACACTCATGATGGGAGCCGGAAAATGGCAATTCTCGACTTCGTGCTCATTCTATGGCGCGGCGATTGGAGCATTGCCTTTGGCACGAGGTGGCTTACATGGAACTTGCAGCCTCCCGCCACACCAACTTTGTCGGCGAAATGGAGACGGCCCTTTGCCTCTTGCTTATCTTTACCTTACTCTACAGTAACGATATCACCAACTTGAAAGTCCAAGCATGCCATCCCGTCCCGGTTGTGCAAAATTGGCATCAGACTTCAGCTTTGACCCCACCAGCTCGCTCTGCAATCGACGAGAAATAAGCCCGGGAGTTGCACGATTCAAGCTGTCGATGCGTTTGACGGGCCTGGCAGGGCGTCATCGGAGTAAATCCCGGACAATTGGCATTTGTTCATGCAAGATGATAAAGGTCAGACAGCATGTCCGTGTTTTATTACCGTGGTAGTTTTATAGTGTAGGTAAGTCCATCACAGGGGCATGACCAAAGAGCTTCATATCATTGGTTCTGCTGCTGCGGAGTAGGTATTCGGTACCTGGTCCGGGATGGCTTCAGGTCGGCGGTACCGTATGTGAGTGTACCTTGGCTGATGACGAGAATGCGGCAACGATGCAAATACTTATCAGATCAAAGCTCGGTGGCAGCCTACCAAGTGCACATTATCCTCTCTCCGATCCTCCCGTATAATAGCTAGTA